GCCGGCCTCCTTGTCAATGGGAGCGCGGGGCCGCGCCGCCCGCGCGGCGGTCAGGCGGGTCCCCCGGCTCGCGCCCCGCGCCACTTTTCTCGCTCTCCGGCTTCCTCTCCATCTTGGCTCCAGCAGCTCGCCTTCTTGATTGTGCTCCTGCTGCTGGGGCGGTAGAGCGGAGGCCGAGCGTCCTCAGCAAATGCGAGGAGACAGTGGGTCAGAGTAAACTTGTGTTCCCGATAATTCGCCTCTGGGGCATGGGGGCAGATTCGGATTTTTCGCTTCCTGCGTCCCGCATTTATTGAGCACCTAGTATGTAAGAGAGGAGGCTGTGAGCAGGGGAACACAGCAGGATGAGACAAAGCCAGGGCCTGTTCTCTGGGAGCCTCTGCCTGCCTCCCTCTGCCATCGCGAACTCTGCTCCAGGATTCCCGGCCATAGGTATTAGCGCAGGAGACAGTTCCCACCATGGGAAGCTTTTGGAGGGGAGGACAGGTTTTCATGCGAGTGAGCTTCTAGCAAATGCTTACTCCCTCAATACAGAGTTGAAACGCTTTTGCTCTTTTGGACGGTTTAGCTTCGTTGAGGTCTTTGCGCTGAACTCTCTTATCCTGCCCCTTCCCAAAACACAAATACATAAAATGAAATTTGAATAGATTTTTGGTGAGAAAAGAGATTTTCTTCCTTTCTTAATGTTTTAAAATATTTTTTCCCATCTCTTCTTTTAAATAAAGACCGAGAAACCCGGGTCGGTTACTCAGCGTACAGCTAATCAAATACTGAGGAAACACATACACATTTGCCAAAGATCGGGCATGTTCTGGGTGGTCTCTGAGATTTTGAAGAAACTAGTTCTCATGCACAAAATGGTTTTACAATCAGTTCCACAAGACAGCCCCAGGGGCCCTCCTAGAGAAAGGGGCCAATAGGAAAGGTTGCATGGGGATAAGAGAGGCAAGCGGCCAGTGGAAAACGTTTTCTTTTTAACAGTTGGGCATTGCTGTGGCTCTGAAAGCAAACTTGTTTGTTTCATTTCAACAATAGAAAAAAAACACCCCTCTTTTGGAAACGTTACCCAGCATAAAAATACATTTGCAATGGGGAAGAAAAAAAAGGCAATTAAGGCCCACCCAGAAGAAAATATTTTTTTCCCCTGAATTTTTTAATTTGTTATTTCCCAGTATGGGTTTGCCTCATTCTACAAATAGCTATCTATGTCAAAGTTGTACATAATATAATTAGAACATTTAAATTTGAATCACATTTTGCATATTCTAGAAAACAGACTAAGGACTCTTATAAAGAATTGTTTTATAAAGTAAATAATTGATTCCCTACTCCCCCCACCCCCCTCCGGCAGTCTCCTTGTGTGTGTGTGTGTTGGGGAGAGGGGTGGCTTAGGGGATAAATCTGGTTTGCTTAAAATCAGAGTATCACTAAAAATCAGCCTTCCAGATCCAAAACAGACCTTAGGTACCCAACATTCTATAGAATTTGTTATTTCCTATAAAGGTTGCCAGGATGATTATGCAGATCTATCAAATAAAGGGAAAAAAATTCAGCAACCTCGCCCAGATTCTGCTATCCCAAGGCTGCATCTGAAAGATTGAAGAGGTAAGAATACAACCATTTCATTGCAGATGGTGGGTCATAGTTTACATTTTAATGCTCTTTCATATCAAGTAATTTTTAATTTAAGATCTTAGGCTCTTGAGGCATTGTGGCTTTTATGGTTGAGTCAAACTATCCTTGATTTTAGGTTTATTTATTCCTTCTTGGTATCATACCTGGTATGGTGGAGGCACAAACCTGTGTTTTGTGTTTTTCTGTACTCACTCAGTACTTATTAAGCACCTACTTACCATGTACAGGGTAATGTTCTAGGCACTATAAATGTTGTACTTCAGGTCTGTCCTCCCTTTTTCTGGGTCACTTTGCATCTTTATAGTTGGGCTTCACAAAAGACTAATAATAATCTGCTTCATTTGTATAGTGCTTTATAGCTAACAGAGCACTTTTGCAAAAATTATCTCATGTGATCCTCCCACAGATCCTCAGTTAGGCACTGTGCTGTGGGGAGAGTCATGGCTGAGTGGAAAGAGCCTGGACCATGAATCCAGATCGACCTGGGTACCCATTTTACAGCTAAGAAAATTGAGCCTCTGAGGGGTTGAGTAACTTGTTCAAGGTCACACAGTCATTAAGTAGTAAGCCAGTGCTCCTTTTACATGTTTGTGGACTATTTAAGAAATAACATGTAATATAAAGCATGCTTCCTAGACTCACAGAAAGCTTACAACCTCAGAACCCAATCATATTCTGGTCCCCCGAAAGGAAGTGAAAATAAGGACATCTCAGTTCTCTGAGTTATTAGTAATTAGATAATACCACAAGTGTTTAGTTTGTCTACAACTAATTCCTGTGAGAATGGAGAAATTACAATCCTAATATCAGGACTGAGGGACAGACACTTAGATCAAGGACAGATTCCACTTGGTTTTATTTTATACGATCCTCAGAATTATATTTCTCTGATTATTGCTGTTGGCCAGAGAATACCGCTCATTTACCCCACCCTCAGTCAACTATCCCTCTTGCCACACACACACTGTTCAGCATATTTTTACTTTTAAAAGTAGGCAATTAGAATGTTTTATATTCTCTCTAAAAGGAACAACAGCAAAGCCTACATTAAGTTGCTTTTTTACTGCATGTGGCTCCTAATTCTGGAGGACAGTAATTTATGACATAAGCAAGATTCCCTAGCTCTGACTTAAGAATGTGGGCTCTGATTAGATGAACTGAATTTCCCTATTTGTTCCTTTTTTGTGATTACTTTAAGTAAATATGCATGTATTGACAATCTACTATCTATAATATATTGATTTAGACTCAAAGGGAGGTTCAGATTTAAGAGCTTAATATCTTGAAATCATGAATTCCCTTGAATGCTTTCTCAAAACCATTCACACCAGAATCAGCTGGGTGCTTGTTAAAAATTCTGTTACCCATCTTACTTCTACTAAGTCAGACTCTTCTGCAATCTGCATTGATAGCCACTCCCAGGTGATTTTTCTGTACACAAGGTGCTAGGTCTTATACAGACTCTGTGTATGCTGGTTAATTCTGCTAGGAGCTTACTTTCTTTTCTTTTCTTTTTTTTTTTTTTTTGGTGAAGAAGATCAGCCCTGAGCTAACATCTCTTGCCAGTCTTCCTCTTTTTGCATGATGAAGAGTGTCACTGAGTTAACACCTGTGCCAATCTTCCTCTATTTTGTATGTGGGACACTGCCACAGCATGGCTTGATGAGTGGTGTGTACCTGGGATCTGAACTTGCGAACCCCAGGCCACCGAAGTGGAGCATGCAAACTTAACCACCATGCCACTGGGCCGGCCCCAGGAGCTTACTTTCTTAAAGTCCAAACATCTCACATGTCTCTGAATTCAACTTTTCTTTATGATTACTAGTGTTTTGTATTTCTGTCAAAGGAAAAAAATTATGAAATTTGAAATTATGAAAATTACTATTCCTCTTGAACACTACTGTCATGGCAGGAAAATAGGCTAAAATGAGCTAAATGAAACCAAATTAAATGTCAAGTGAATTAGGCATTTTAAGGAGAATGATAGATCACTATTTTAGGTTTCTGTACTAAGGATTTCTATTATAAAATGTATAGCTCACAGTCAAACTTAGTGGTGAATATAATTTAGAAGAATGTCTGGGTAAAGCTAAGAGATGACTTAGTGTTTTCTGACAGAAGGTGCTGATCCAATTTTTTTTATGTCCTTAGAAGATAGGCCCCCTATTTAGCCCTGGGATGATTTTTAAAATGCAGATTTCTGGGTCCCACCCCTAGAATTTCTGATCAGTAACCTGAGGTGGAGCCTGGAAATGTTCATTTTTACAATTCTACCTTCTCCCCCAAGTGATACTGATGCTCTTTAGGAAACACATCACTGGACTGTAAACTCCTTTGAGGTGAAGGAATTGTCTTATCACTGTGTATATATCTCAAAAGGTCAAGCATGGCCCATTGCCCACAGGTCATCAATTTTAATACTTATTAACTAAATTCACCTGTCTATAGGCGAGGGCTAAGTCAGGCTGTACATCAAAGTTCTTTCCAGCTCTGAGATTTTTGATTTTCTAATAGAAATTTTGTAACTTGATGATTCTAGAAAATTATTAAGATTGGGTGAGTGCAAAGAGGTAATAGCTTGTTTTCAAGTAAAGTTCTGAAAAATGAGATGATACTTATTTTAAACAAACAAATGGAAGATTTATTGGCATTTAGGAGCTTGTGAGAAGAGTGTATGCCAAATGTTTTTGGAGTTCCCATCAGAAAATTTCTTGCTAAAGTTTGCGTCTCATTTGTTATTTTGTAGAGCTCATGGAAAAAATAGTTTCCTTATTTATCATTGTTAGGAATAAAAGATGCCATGGGAAGAAATAAATTTTTGTGTGCTTTTGAATGAAGGGACTTGCATGAAAAGGAGCAGATTAAGGCTTGTAGGTAATTGAATTGAGCTCCTAAGTTATTGAAGTCCATTATGTGGTCACTGTTGAGAACATTATTTGTTGAGTACTGTGATGGGGTTCAAGAACCCCAAAGAGAGTGTGCTTTGT